GGACGTCACTTGATGTTCTTTGCGACAGGAAATATTACCTGCTTTGGCTCTGCCTAACTCAAACCCTAGAGATGTGACAAAATGACATAATCGGGATTCTCTGACATTGTCTAAGCGGGCAAAGCTCTCTTCTGTAAAGTCCAGAATGACATCGCCAAAGATAAATGGCAAACATCGCTCTCTGAGAAGCTTGCTCACGCGCGAAATCTCTTTCACCGCTGGGAGGTGGAGATGGTCCAGGATCAGGCAAAAAATCTCTCCTGGTAAAGCCTCCAACAATGTTTTCGTGTCCATTCTGCTGTTCAAGCATGCAGGCGGCGCTGACATTATTGTATATTTAAGTTATTTCGTGAGCTGCTTCCAAGATAGTTTGAAAGAGGTACGGAATAGCCCCAGCCCTTGAAGCACTTCTGCATGCCACGTTCTGAGCAATGTATTCGATTTTTATGTGAAAGGGACCTTAGCCTGTACTCCCCCCCGAGATTATCCTTTTGCTGATGCATTAGTCTCGGTCGGGTAGATCTTTACCGCCAATATCGGGCGCTGTGTTGGAAATTTTCCAAGTAACGTACGAGATGGATTTGCAGGCATCGAGAATTACCCAAACTCCAAAATGTGAACTTCACGGAATGGAGGAACATGGGGTATTTCAATTGATAGTTTCTCGTGACGTCTCCAACTGGGCAATCCGGTTGTGCTACGATCAGCTGCCACCTCGACGAGAAAGATAGGGGGTTATAAATGTTCTTTACGTTATTGGGACTCTCAGTCGAGTAAAGATATCTACGATGCGCAAGGACATGGACGCGAAGCTTTCGAAAGCTAGAGAACAGCTGCTCTCATTTGGCTGCGACCTGAGATTCAACCTCACGATCTTTCCGCTCGATGTTCCGTCCGGCGTTAATTCTTAGCCCACCGGTGACACGGACGGGTATATGGTGCCGCTGGTGAACGTGGACGAATCGGAAACTGCGTCAAAGCAGCACTAAAGAGCATACATGGGAGTTCAACAACTCCGGGTCTTTCGGAAGCGGTTTTGGAGGCTGACATGCATATATTTGGAGGCAACGAAGCCTCGCCCGACACGATGTCGCCGGTGCCGTACGAGCCAAATTACTTGGCATATTATTATGCAACCGAAGACGGGATGGTTGCGAATGATCATCGCTATGTTATCGGAAAAACCACGGGGTTGGGTATTTTTCTGCCTGCAGTAGCGGAAGCATTAGCGCGAGGGGGAGACTGGACGGGAGGCAAAGTTCTACGGGAGTGGTTCCCCGATGTCGTGAAAGATCATGCGGATTGGCACGCAGTTGTCGGCCCTGAAGCTACAAGCCGTTCGACGTGGATGGAGAAAGGATACAGTGAAATGCCCCTTCCATTGATTTGGTTCTTTCGTTTTCTGCCCTGGCATGAACTCCATGATATTCAGACCAATATGTGCGGAACAAGCGGACTTGACTGATCTCAACTTGTTCGGTCGAGCCATTCTGTGGGGTTGAATCTGCCGACCTTGACATGTACTTGTTTCTGATCTCTACCTACTATTACAATGTCCGCATGCATAACCCGTCTATCCAAGTCCAGTGTAAGCGAGTGCAGATGATTCAGTTTGATATCCTCTCGAGGAATGCTGCAAGTTTGCCCTTCGGTTGACCCACATGAAATGCCCATGCATAACGAGTCATGAATCTGCGGATCCGGGAGTCCATCTCCTCCAGTCTCAGAGCGCGTTCTTCCTCGGTAGTACGGATAGAACTAGGACTCCTTGGGAGAGTACATTGCAGCTCAACTTCCCCGACCGTGTGATTGTCGAAATCCACGGTGTCTTGAACGATTGTGAAGTCATCGTCGGCGACCCAGCTTTGCCGAAATGTTGTAAAGGAAGCCAACTCCCGTAGTCCAAAGTTGGTGAGTTCAGTTTGGCTGATACCCGTATAGAGTTTCAGGTGATGAGAGATTTCCTCTGGGTTGCGCATCTCCATGAACCTAGAATTCTGGAAATTTCCGCCATCTTTTATTTTGGCTTCCCAGTCACCGTCCCTCTTGCGGACCCAAATGCCTTTCGAGGATAGCAGGCCATCTACATCGTAGTATATATCGTGCATGGAGCGTAAACCCAAGTACCGCAGACTTCGAAATGGCGGGTGTCCTCCTGCAAGAGTCAATGGCTGCACGGCAAGTCGGCTGAACTTGCGTTCTACCTCTAAGGTGAGCAGCCTGAAGGGGGCCATCGATGAGGGGGCGAAGAGACCACAAGGCGTAATCAAATGGTGGGCCAACGGGGCGCAGCCTAGGCCTATATTTCCAGCGACCGGTTTGTCAATATAGTCACCTCATGCAAAAAGAATCATGGTAGATGAATGCTGCCAGTCAAAAGGCCAGAGGGTATTGGCCGACTCCCGCCACAGAGACGGATTTGGGACCAAACATTGAGAAAAACAAGAACCCAGTCAATGATTCGTACCTGATGAACCAGCCTCCCATCACGTGCCGAATCTAGGCGTCGCCGCGTCACAGGTAATACCTGCCAACCCAAGTAGGGGTTAGCATCACGGCTGGCGGTACTCACAATAGGAGCTCGACTAGTTCCGACATCGTATCCTAGCATACGTACCGAAACCGAAATCGATCCAGTTAGGAGTTCTGACTTGATCGCACAGGAAGTTGCTAGTCCATCTCCCCAAAAGGAAGTTAAGGAACCATGCCTGTCTATTCACCAGAAGGGGAATAGCGTGGTGCAGGTCTTTAGAACACAATTCCGCGGAAGTCTCGTCGTTCCGGAATGCTGATTTCCTGCTCGCTTGAGAACTTGGCTGGCCGAAGCGGAGGCCCCACTTCGAAGCGAACGCAATCCATAGGGGTCTGAGGGGACAAGTGCCATTTGCCGTTTGGGCGTCTTGCTAGTGGATGAATTTTCGGGCAGCAAACGGCCTGTCGTAACAAGGTTGCCGTACAGATAGTTTCGGGCCAGTCGTAGTTCAGATATCGCTTACCTCAATATGTAAGTACATTAGCAATGCCACTACCCGAAGCACGAGTGATCCTTCGCAATGTTGGATCATAATTCATGTAGGTAAGCTTGTTGGCAACATGATTCATGTATGCTGGGCGAGAGTTGCCTACTCTATGTTCAGATATTCATGGTGAACCGCTACTATTGGGATACTCCTTCGCCCTGCATGAAAATTTATTCTAATGGGTATCCCCTGTTCTGCATTACTTAAATCATCGCCGCGTAGTCCTAATGAGTCAGATCTGCCTCCGGAAATCATTGGCGCTGTACATCTTGATAGTGGAAAGAACTATGAAAGAACATGGAAGATCGTAGGAACATTGGGTGAGCCTCTGATTTATTTTCTGCCTATTTGCTAACGGAATTTTTTGAATTGATGATTGACCAGAGCGTTGGAAACACTCCCGCGCTTTTCGAGAAAGATGTCGCAACTACTCGGGAAGACGCTTACTAGTATGCCAGAAGCGCCGAATGAAAGCGAGAGATACATTATTGCTCAATGTCACAGTGGCTTGGATGCACCTGAAGCGAGTGCTCATCCATTGGTGTCAGATGTGGTCATTGGCGGGGCTCAAATATGTTCAAAAAGCTGGAAAGTAGCATGCGGAAGGAGCACTCTTGTATGAGAGGAGACGATCGCTTAGCGTCATACCTCGAAACTGAAATAAGGAAATGCGGCTCGAATGGCCTGCCCTCCCCGACGGAAACTTCTTATACGGAAGGTATCGGATCCGAATTGATGGGATGCGCCGATCGTCAAAACGTCAAAATCTGCCAGGATCTCTCTGCATCGGAAGTGGTGACTCGGTGGTTCTGTCTCGAGATGCTATTCGACGTTGGCGATCAGGAAAAGTCTCTCATCTGAAACAGCCCATGAAAGATCTCTCAGAGACTGGGGCTTTCACATTGATCGAAAGCGACGCACAAGACATCGCATATCGGATAAGATTGCAGAGATACTACATCATGGCTCTCTACCATAAGCGTAGCAGAGCCTCTGCACCGTCTACAAGTGGATTTCTCGCCATGAACAACAATGAGGACTGCGATAACAGAAAACCTGGAAATTCTCTGTACAAATCGGAGGCTGATATGGCCAAAAGCATATTGAAAGGAATTGCGCCAGGTTTTGAGTCAGAATCTCCGGTATACCAACACAAATTTGATCACATCAAGTCACGTCGGATTCGCGGCAAGGGGTATCCCACATTGTTCACCTACTTCGGTCCAGGAATACTTGCTTTGATACCCTCCACGGATCAACCCGGTCAGAACCGGATAGGCTTATCCGAAAACGGGTAAGTGAAGCAAGGAATAACGGTAGCATGTCTTATTAATAGGAGAGTGGTGAGATTTTCAGTCATCCAAAAGATCTCTGCAATCTTAAGAAGCGTGTTTGGTCCATCGCCATGCCTCCCTCCTCCTCTGGTATTCTTCGCTCCGGAGTTCTGGCTATGCGCAGGCATGAAAAGGAATAACAATGCAGGAACCGTAGAGATAACATAATTTTGAGCATCGTTTACAATAACTCAGGCTTGAGGTTCGAGCGCCCTCGTCTGCTATTAGCAGACTTTTTTTCGTTACGTGATAGAAAAAATGCGTACAACCCGACTAACAACTATGCCTTCCCGTCGCTAACAAGACTTCGTGTCTTCTAAGGGCTTCATGAGCGGTGGTATCCGCTTTATACATCACCATGATTGCTGTGGAAGAGGGCGCGCACCAATTTTTCACCAAAAGCTTAGGAAATGTGTTGAACGTGTGATTTGACTTGGCAACGGAGGATAAAACTCATTCCTTTATTTTTGGGCAGATGGACTAGTCTTCCCATAGATAACAATAGCTATTAATCGATCATAAGCTGATTCCGGAATAGGAAATTAAGCATCCAAGTCTTCCTAACCACTCGAATAGGGATAGCGTGGTACGGCAGCCTTGCAGGTGAAACTACTGGCTCTCGAGAACGAAAACCCTCCGATAGCAAATGCGGCCAGCGAGAGCTAAGAACCGAGACACCGTGAACTCATTGAGCCGCTTGCCTATTAAGTGGATCCGGACAGTTGAAGTGCAATCAATTAGAAAACGCGGCTTTGAACGGCGGAGTAACTATGGGCAATGTGCACTGACCGACGACGTGCACGAAATTGACAGCTAGTTGAATAAGCTAGCCAACAGTGTGCATCGTACGCGATGAGTGAGAGATCTAGACCGGGTCACTAATTAGAATGACCTAAACAGCTCTTATCCCGAGGCTTTACTGGCGGGGTGAAATATCACCGCATCTAGAACAGTGTCAAAACATAATTGGCTCCTCAGCTTCTGCCGGAGGTGTTGTATCGTCAAATGCGACTAAACTGAATAAGGCGAACTCGTTGAGCTTAAGCGTAGGACTGATTCGCTTCCAGCCACGTACGGTATTCAATCCTCTTTCCTCCTCTCTCAACACAACTATCAAGTTGGCACATTAACCCATAACTCTCTTGCTTATATATCTGCAGCCATACGTATCACGCCAGGCTCTCATCCGCAGGACCTCCAAATTCCCACGAATTCATGCAACATGGCCAGTGTCCGCAGCAAACTTATTGATTCTATCCAAGATCACTTGGGCGTTTCATTCGAGAATTCAACGCTAATTCACGAAGCTTTCATGGCTGCTGACGCGGTTGGCAGAGATGGTAATAAGGATCTGGCTCTCATTGGAGATTCAGCCCTTCAACTTTTCCTACAGTCGCAAGGTCGCGCTAGGCATGCAAGCCGCGGTACGCAATCAGCACTTCTGGAACAAATTTATTGTCCACTTTCGCTGATTTTACCTGCGTTGTAGAGCAAATCAACCAAATTGTCTCTCGCATTGCCAGTAATACGAGCCTTGCCCAGCGGGGGTTCGAACTGGGTCTTGATCGGTACATTTGCAAGTATCCCTCCCAGGGCAATTTTGTCTCTGACAAGCTAATGGCAACTACTGTTGAGGCTATTGTCGGTGCCGTCTTCCTAGAAACAAGCTGGGATCGAGCAGCATTGCAGAGAATTGTGGATGCATTAGGCCTGGCGTGGCCGGATTCTTGAGCTGGGATATTTCCATGCAAGGCTCGGATAATTACGGATCTCCTATCTTCCATTACGATTTAATGATTAGCATATTGATACGCGCATTCTATTAGCCCGCAGAGCAATCGCATGTGATCTGCAAAGCTATGCTCGTGTAACCCACACAACGCATTGCTCTACAGACCGTCACTTGTAAGGTTCCATATGACCATTACTCGTTCATATGAGACGTTGCATGCAGCCGGCTTGTTGTACAGGCCAGTATTCCTCTGCGTGTTGTTATGGATAGAAGCCTGATGCTCCATTATGGTTTGTATTGACTCCATCAGTGGATATTGTTAGAAAGTTCTAGCTCTGCACCATTTGGTTCTAACCGCAACATCTGTGCGAAATTTTCAGCTTCGTATGGGTTTACCGGCAATGACTTCACCTTTCCAATATAGAGATAAACCATCCCCGCGTGTATTGTTCTGGTTCCGTCGATTCAATTTAACGTGAGATAAAAAGAATATTTTCACCTTAATTGTGGGATGATAATGTTGTATGTCACGAGCTCCGATATTAGATTTCTTTCCCATCCTTTCTACGTGCATTGGGTCATCATGCCTAATGCAACAACTATTATAGTCGCGGCAAGCTCGGGGGCGCACATATTGCGTGTCCTTTCCTACAAGAGATCTCATTGGTTTCTACCTTTCGGGCGGCCGGTAACTCATGTTCTCATCTATGTCTAAAGAGTTATACGCCTCACTCACGGGTTAATGGAAACAACTTCGATGTTCCTCTGTTACAAATGCTGTGCTATAGAGGCTCTAATTCTGCTCAATCCCTCGGCGTCTCGATGCAAAACAAATAGCTAATTGTCCTTCAAGTTACGCACTTCAGCTAGATTTTAAGAGAACAACAGTCTCATATCTGCGTTGACGCAGCATGGCTACCCCTCATGAACCGAAAGTCGAGACACTCGAACAGATCATAGGTCATACCTTCTCCCTAAAACATTTGATACGTCTGGCTCTCACTTCAGCAGGTGCCAATCCGGACAATTACGATGGAAATAGGAAACTATCCCAATTGGGTGCCTCTGTGGTTGACTCTGTTCTGGCTATCATAGTATTCTTCATAGGTGGCAGTAGAGGTAAGAAGAACGGCGGCGCCTGGTCACTGCTTTTTTGGACAAACTTATAGTGTTGTAGAGTGTACGGCAAATTTGAGAAAAGCTTTTCTGAACAAGGGCAAATACTATGCTGCCGCGAAGCGGACCGGTATCGACGATTGCATAGACTACGACAAGCGCACCGGGCCAAATTCACCGGAGGTTCTTCGCAAAGCGATAAATGCTATTATAGCAGCCGTGTTTCTTGATACCTGGAGCATCAAGACAACAGTAGTTGTCATTCTAAGGTAAGACCCAAACATCCGTTTAGCACGCAACTACTGTACTGAATCTGTTCGGTCAGGATATTTTTCCAGACTAGCGGCGACAGAATGTTTCGGGAACTCCCTTCTGCCTCACCTGCTACTGTGGAAGCTCTAGCATCTATTTCGAAGATGATACTAGCTCTAAATGCTGGAGTAATTAATCCTTCGGTGCTAACTATCGAGCGGTCGGCTACGACTCTTGAGGTCTCGCCAATGATACACAGGTTCCTGGAACAAGGCAGCAAAGATCCGCCTCTCTCATCAAACGCGGAGCGCATTGTGACGGAGAAGGAGTCAGTCACAGAGGACCTATTTCAATTTCTCCGAGAGGAGATATGGTCATCGGACGGAGACCTGAACCGCAATGGAACTGAAACTGAAGCCGAGCATGACTCGATGGCGACGATTTCGGATAGGCCGAATGCTCCATCAACACCAAAGGGCGGTCAGGTGGCACGTCGCCAGAGAGAACCCCACAATGACAGTGAAACATGCGTGGTACTACCTGCGTCGAAGAGAAGGTGCAGGGTTGCAAGCACTAACGTCTCCATCTTGCATGGTGAGGCTGCCGGGCAGATTCTCTTACAAGAGAGACAGCAGTGTGCCGCTCAGAATATGCCTCCGCCCGAAAATAGCTATTTCTCAGCTGCTATAGTGACAAAGGCCCTTAAGCTTGAAGAGGACTCGCTCGGGGACCTCGCTATTCTCTTGATAACAATTGCTAGCCCGCAATCAATCGTGGCTCTGCGCGAGATGATGTGCTGTATAAGAGCTCAGAAGACGGTTGATTCGCACCGCCTGGCCGTGAACGTCACGAAGAGGCGAAGATATGAGATGATTAAAGAACTCAACCAAAAAAATGCACTTCTCCGACTGCTCCGATGGTATCACCTTCTCGAACTATTCGAGCAATGTGGTGGTTCTCGGACCCGTTACAGCATGGGATATGTAAACACGACATCTGCGGATTTCGAACATCCGAAACGGGGAGCAGGAAACCCTAGCAGAAAAGATGATGCCAAGGTAGCGCAAGCGATGATGAAGGAGTTATTTCCCGACCTAAGTCCTACAAGTCCTGTGTATGCCCAGGAGTACGCTGCCATCAAGTATTACCGAAAAGTGGGACAGCGACTCTATATCCTCACCGACCGGTTCGGTCCAGGAATCCTTGGTCTCACTTTGGACCCCACTCATGAGTTGGAGATATCAGATACCATGTTAGTAAGTGCCGAGGTTGACATACCCATAAGTCTGACACTATTTTAGGCTGTTAAATCCGAAAAATAAGACATTTCGCGATTTTGTAGACCTCCTCGAAGAATCGCATGGACAATGGCTGAGGAGATGCAGCGATGCAGCTTACTTGTTGCTTCGCCCATTGCTCGAGTTTACCCTCGACAACACCGCGCCTTTCCGTTTGGAGCTTACGGATCCTGAATGCATTTTCAAGCAACCTAAGTGCTCGGAGTCTCTTCTGAAGCTTGTTGCCTAGGGCGGTAACGGCTCGTGTGATATAGATGGGTGTCCAATATGCATAGTGATTGATTGTGCCGCATGCCTTCGGGGAAAAGATCCTGCTCTTTTCCGGACTCACTAGCAATACATCTATTCCATCGCTCCCCCAGGTAATCAATTCCCCTCAAATATTGACCAGTGACCTTTGGGGATCACTTTATGCCTTTTCATGCAAGTGTTGCTCTTATGGATTGTGTCCTTACTTAAACAAGGACAAAACGCGTAAGCAATATCATCTCGGAGACGCAAAGCGCAGTGAAATGCGCCAAGCACTATGTCCGAGTGAGCCTACGCTTGGACAACCA